CAGGGACCTGGCCAGCACCTCAAGTACACGCCCAATGGCCTCATGGGCGGGGAGGGGGCGACGAACAATTGGACGAAGGAGGAGGGGGAGGAGGAGGAGGAGGAGGAGGAGGAGGAGGAGGAGGAGGAGGAGGAGGAGGAGGGGGAGGAGGAGAGGGAGGAGGAGGAAAAGGAGAAGGCTGAGGATTTGAATGGTTGGGGCCTTTCTGAGGCGTCGGGACTCCTCCCGTGGCAACGGTTGGGCGCGGCTCTCAGGGCTGGTCCGGGCGGCGCCTGGGAGGGGTGCGGAGGCCGACTTCTGGGGCGACCAGACTTCCAGCCGCCGCGAAAATGAAACAAATGTCAGCGGCGAGGAGGGCCGCGCCGGAACTAGGAGCAGATGGTGCGGTCAGGGGAAGAGGAGGGCGGCCGTGGAGGGGGAACGCGGGAGGAGGCCTCAAGCGTCAATCGGCGGCGAGCCCGGGGGGAAGTGAGAAGGGGCGGGTCTTCTCAGAAGGCTCGGAAGTCCCTCTGCCGTCTTAGAAGTTTCCTAAGCTTTCCTGGGAGACAGAGAAAGCCTTTCAGAAGGCGCAAGTCCCGCCGCCTTGTGAGAAGGCCTTCTCCTTCTCATTTCTCCCCCCCTCGCTCACCGCCGAATTAGGAATCTTGGACAAGAGGAGTGCGCAAGCGACCTCAGGCATCGGAACAGCCGGTGTGCTAGAAGGCTTGTGTGTGTGCGTGTGTGTGCGTGTGTGTCTGTGTGTGTGTGTGTGTGCATGTGTGTGTATGTGGCGAGTTCCTACCCGAGTTGTTGCCGAAGGGAGGGGCAGTGCCGTTAAGCCAGCGGAGAGGCAAGTCGTCATCAGCTGGGCGGTAGGCGGAGTGCCATGCTGAGCCAGGACCGTCGGTGGTCCTGGACTGGTGCGGCAGGCGAAGTGCCATGCTGAGCCAGGACCGTCGGGGGTCCTGGACTGGTGCTTCTCCTGCGACAGTGCGAAAAGGAATCCTGTGGGGCGTGCCTTCGCCATTCCGGCCCTCTTGGGGGCTACAAATGGCACGAGGGTTGAGATCAACCTTGGTGTTGCAGGGGCGGCTTTCTGTTATTCGTGTTTGGGGCTCTCTACCTCGGAATGCTCGTTGTGTTGGGCTTTCGCATTTCCATAGGACCCTGCGCCATCGGCGAAAGGGCTCATGCTCCTGACCAGCGCCCTTGCCGCCAGATTCCGACCGTATCGAAGGGGCTTACCCCTGGGCGGACAAAAATACCCAGGCATGGGCGCGCCGCGCCCTCCCCCCCAGGCCCCGACTTGGCATCGCTCGGACGTGTGCATTTTCTCTCGGCGGGGACCATCGAGGAGCATCCTGGACCATCTTGCGAAAAAGAAGCGCACGAAGCCGAGCAACATGCACGGGGAATAGGCGTTCGAGCGATGGCAAGTCCAGGGGCTGACACAGGCAGTGAAGACAACGACGACGTGGGGCAGCCATTGTCGAGCCCCAGGGGACGACGAAAAATCAACGCCCCGCGACGCGGGGCCAGTCCCACGGATGGGGTCCAGAGCTCCAGTTGGCATCGCTCGGACGTGTGCATTTCCCTCGGCGAGGACCATCGAGGAGCACCAGCGACCATGTAGGACCCTTCCCCCCCCCCTCTGCCCCCGGTGCCGTTAAAAGAGAGCCCACGGGCCCCGCCGCCCCGTCCTCGTGGCCCCCCAGGGACCCGTCGCACGTCGGACCCCCCCCCCCTGGCGGTGCCGCCCTCGGCGACCTCTGCGCGCCAGCAAGAGTCGGCCATGCGCAGAGAGGGGCATGGGGGAGGGGGGAAGGCTTCTTAGACGCATCCCTGCTTCTTGGGCCTTGTCTACAGATGCAAGGCTGGCGCCTTCTAAGAAGCAGCCTCCTTCCAAGAAGCCTTCCCACCTCCCCCTGCCCCTCCCTGCGTGCCGCCAAAAGAGGGGGTGTCCAGCTCCGGCCTGAGGAAGCCGCGCGGCACTCCGACAGCTTGTGCGTCTATGGCGTTTCTGATTTATTTATGTATTGATTTGTTTCCCTACCAAGGCTCTGCCTAGAAGGGCTCTTACTATTAGGCCTCAAAGGGCCGGGCAGTGGAACCCGCCCCGGGCGGTTCCCCTGGCATCCGCCCCGCGGTTCCCCCAGTGACGTTCCCTTAGCTTAGCGTTGCTTATATCATCTTAGCTTAGCTTATTCCATCTTACCTTAGCTTCATCTTACCTCAGCTGCATCTTAGCTTAGCTTACCTTCATCTTAGCTTCGCTGAGCTTTAGCATAGCAGAGCACGTAGCATAGCATAGCGCAGCATCGCATATCACAGCATGGGTGTAATTCCCTACCTAGGCTCTGCTTAGAGCATTAGCTTAGCTTATTTTTATTTTTCTTCGAACATCCCCCTGTAGGGGGACAGGCCCGACATAAGTCTTGGCGAATGTCTTGAGGGCGGCTCCCCACCGTCCCGCTTGCACAGTGGATGTAGACGCAAATAGCATTCACCGACGAACAAATCCCAGAGATCCAACGTCTTGAAAAAATCAAGACGGAGGTTTTTCGCAAATTTCGGCCCCTGGGGGCCCTCGCCGGGCCTCGGGACCGTCAAAAAACGACTCGGGATGAAAAACCGGTCCTGGGGGATGGGTCGAGCCTTCCGGGGACCTCGCATTGAAAAAATCACGACATCGGATCTCTGGGATCGCATCCCCCGGCGAACAGGCCCACATACACCGGCGAACAGGACATGCCCCCGCGATCCTACTTTTGGGGCGGATCGACACTGTTTGTCTAAGCGAACTGTCGAATGCACAACGTCTTGCAAGCGACATCCACCGGTAAAACGCCCCAGCGAAGAGACCCACACACACCAGCGAACAGGACCCATCTTGGGATGCGTTGGGCCCGTCGTCCGTCACGACTCCGCTTCCTCATCCTTTGGTCCTCCTCTCCCTCCGCCCTGTACTCTTCGCCGAGCTTTGCTCATTAGTCCTCTTCCTTCTGCCCCTCCTCTTTTGTCCTTCATTCTACCTGTCCCCTTCCACCCTGTCTTTCTCCTGCCCGCCATGCCTCCCTATTGCCTGCTCCACCCCCCCATCTTCCTCTCGCAGCTCGTTGCGGAGACTGCGCATCAACATCGCTGACAACCGTCGCTAGCATCGCCGCCATCCTCATCCTCATCGCAGGTTACCCAGACTGCGCATCTCGCCCAAGATGGCTTCCGAGAAGACCTCAGATGCCATGGCCTCCAAGACGGCGCACGCTCCCAGAGACCCCAGAACGGCCCCAGAAGGTCCCCGAGCGCAGGGCCGGACGGACGGCGCACGACGCAACGCCTCCCCAGACCCCCGACGTCGTGATTTTTTCGCAACCTCGACCCCCAAAGGTCTGGACCCCTTCCCCAGGACCGGTTTGTCATCCTGAGTCGTTTTTTGACGGTCATGAGGCCCGGCGAGGGCCCCCTCAGGCCCGAAAATAGTGAAAACCCTCCCGTCGTGATTTTTTCACAGCGCGAGGGGGTCTGGGTCCACACCGGCGAACAGGACATGCCCTGGCGAACAGGTCGGCGAACAGGAAGTGCACAGGCGAACCGCCCCCGTGCGAAAAAGGGACGGCGAGGAGCCCCTGGGCGCCTCGGGAGCAGAGGTCCAGAGCACCCCCGGCAGGACCCGGTGACCCATGGAAGGCTGCGGTCTCTGGGCCATGGGCCCCGGAGCCCGTCGGCCTCCATCTCCTCCCTCCCCAAACCTCCTCGCGCTGTGAAAAAATCACGACGGGAGGTTTTTCATTCCCTACCTAGGCTCTGCCTAGAAGGGTTCTTACTCTCTTCGCTTAAAGGGGCTGGGCAGTGGAACGCGCCCCGGGCGGTTCCCCCGGCATCCGCCCCGCGGTTCACCCAGTTACGTTCCCTTAGCTTAGCGTTGCTTATATCATCTTAGCTTAGCTTATTTCATCTTAGCTTGTCTTAGCTTCATCTTAACTCAGGTTTACCTTAGCTTAGCTTACCTTCATCTTAGCTTCGCTGAGCTTTAGCATAGCAGAGCACAGCATAGTACAGCATAGCGTAGCATAGCATAGCGCAGCACAGCATATCATAGCATAGCCCAGCATAGCATAGCATAGCGCAGCACAGCATAGCATAGTATAGCACATCATAGCGCAGCACAGCACAGCATAGCACAGCGCAGCATAGCATAGCATAGCATAGCATAGCTTATCATAACGCAGCTTAACATAGCATATCATTTCATATCATAGCTTAGCATGACACAGCGCAGCATGGCATAGCATAGCTTAGCATATCATATCATAACCTAGCATAGCTTATCATAATATATCATAGCATAGCATAGCATAGCGCAGTATAGCATGGCATATCATAGCACAGCATAGCAACTAATGCTGCTTTCCTAGGTGCTCCAACTTCTAGGTAGGGTCGCACTGGGGTAATTGTGTTCTTTGTATTATTGTTATCATTATTATTCAACCGCTTCGCTCATTCCGCCGGCCCATGTTGCATGATCGCTACTGCTTCGCCGTGGGCCCAGGGCCATTGTGGCGCCGCCGAGGAGGAGGAAGATGAGGATGGGGAAGGGGAGGGGAGGAGGAGGAGAGGATGAGAAGGAGAGGAGGATAATGAAGATAAGTAGGAGGAGAAGGAGGAGGAGGAGGAGGAGGAGGAGGAGGAAGGGGCGGAGGAGGAAGCCTCTCGTTGGCATCTTGTGTTGCTCTTGGGGACAAACAGGGTCGTCGTCTTTTGAGAAGCCGTTCGGGAGCGCCTAGGAGGCATTTTTGAACTTCTGGGGCCTCTTTTGGGCCTCCTGGGGGCCACTTGGGGGCCTCTCCGGGCCTCCTGGGGCCCTCTTGGGGCGGAAGGCTCGAGTTTTCGGTTCGTGGTCCCCCTCTTGGGCCCCTCTTGGTTGGGGCCGTCTTGGGCGCCTCTTGGGCCATCTCGGGGCCCTCTTGGGCCCTCTTGGGGCCCTCTTGGAAGCCTCTTGCCCCGTCTTGGGGCGCTCTTGGGGGCCTCTTGGGCCGTCTTGGAGCATCGGATGGCCGAAACGGCGCCAAGGCCAAAATCTGTCCAAAACCGTCATAAGATTAATGATTTTGGCATCTCGGGCCCTCTTGTGAGGCCTCTTGGAGGCCACTTGGAGGCCTCTTGGGCCGTCTTGGGGTCATCATCGGCGTCTTGGAGCGCTCTTTGGGCGTTTCGGGGGCCTCTTGGGCAGTCTTGGGGACCTCTTGGGTCAGGAGGCGGGGTAGTCGATTGCGCCCCTCCCCTCGGAGGCCACGATCCTCGTTAGGGGTGTCGAAAAATTGCCCTGTCTGGCGTCTCTGATCCGAGTGTCCCGGGGTTGTCCCGGGGGGGTCCCGGGGTACTTTTCGTCCGGGGACCCCCAGGGGCGGCCCCGCGCGCGCGAACTAGAATGTTATTAACCAGTTACCGGAGATCTTCGCACGCCCTGGGCCCGTTGGGCCGGCGAATTATTGATCTTATTATATGTTTCGTATGGGGTCGACTACATACTTGATTTACCCCGGAATTTACTCGTCGAATTTACGGAATGCATATAGTGCTGGTAGATATGCGGGGCATTCGGCGTAGTTGTCCGTAGATTCGACGAACACCTCAATTCTGAGGTGAAGCAGTTCTACAGTCGATCCCCTACTCGAAGAAGGGGTGTCCAGCGCCAACCTGAAGAATCCGCGTGGAACTCCGGCAGCTTGTGCGTCTGTACCGTTTGTCGTTTTTTCATGTTCCGATCGTGGCCGGTCCGATCTTGCCCCCAGGATCGGCGCCTGCGCCCGTGGGGAGGGCGGCTGCTGCGTCCCGCAGGTGGCATCGTCTCCGCGGAGGAGGGCGCGTCGCGCGCGCGCACACCTCCCCAGACCTCCGAAGGATTGGCTCTTTGAATGCCAGCGTTTTCCCCTCGGTGTCGGCCCTTGGGGAGGGGGTGGTTCGGTCCCCTTGGGCCATTAAGCATGGACCCTGAAAGGAAACTTGCCCCTAGGCCAGGGGAGGGGTCGGGAGCTTTGGGAGACGCGAGTTGGAATGATCACATCGTCGGGCGTCTGGGGCAGATGTGCCCCTGTCTCTGCGGCCGCCGCCGGCTCTGGCGTCGCAGCAGAGATTGTTGCGCGACCTTCTGTAGAGGCGGCCAGTGGAACAACAGCGGCATTCCCATTGCGTTTTTCGTTCTTTGTGGGCCTCCTGGGGGCTTCTCGTCGCTTCAAACAACGAGTCAGGATGGACCCCACCAGGAGGGGTCCGGGGACCGATTTTCAGCGAGCGGCGCATATCGGGAGGTGGCGGCAGAGAGCAACAGACCGCAGCGTTCACATTGCGACCCGTTCTCGCTCGGTCGCACGCAGGCTTAGACTCCATCACTCTCACACAGTCACAAAGGAAAGTGCGAGAACACGATTAGGAGACTTGATACACATGGTGTTGCCTCCTCCTCCCCCTCCGTTTTCTTATCCTCTCCCTCCTCCTCCTGCCCCTCCTCCTCCTCCTGGTCCTTCTCCTCCCCCTCCTTTTCCGCCTCCTCCTTCTCCTCCTCTCCCTCTGCCTCTTCATCCTCGCCGTCCTACTTTTCTCCCCTTTTCATCATCCTCCTCCTACCCTCCTTCTCCCCCTATTTGGCCCCCCCTCCTCCTCCTCCTCCTCCTCCTCCTCCTCCTCCTCCTCCTCCTCCTCCTCCTCATCCTCCCCATCCTCATCCTCCTCCTATTCCTCCTCATGATGAATCAGGCGACCATCGTGGCTCCGGCTTGCCATATTTGCGAGGAGAAGTTATGTACCATTCTCGACCAGCACCCCACGGAGCATAGCTTCACGTATAGCCCTGGCGCACACCGTAAGATTGGCGGAGAGGCCACCTTCATACTTTGGCCAGTGGATACTATTCCACATGATGTTCGAGTTGTTTTTCTTTACGCGTTGTTTGTATATGGGCGCATCTTGTTGGTTACCTGATTACCATTTCCAGCCCCGTCTCCCGGCAAGGGCTTCGCCGTCCAAGCGCGCGCGATCACGACTTCGCTCCAGACGATGAACACAACGCGCGTCGGATTTGGTTTGGGAGCTACCCGACCAGTGATCACGACGGGGCGACGTACGACGTTTTTCCATTGCTGCTGACGACTTCGATTTGTAAGATACGACTGCATTCTCGGTGACACATCCTGAGGGGTCTTTCGCGGGAAGCCATCAAGGTGCAGCATGGTCAACCGTTTGGGTGGAGACTATTTTACGACAGTGGCATTGTTCAGCTAGAAACGAAAATGATGACACACGTCTCGCTTCGCCACCAATCTTGCAGCCACGTTGACAGGGTCTTATATTCGGCTTCGCCGCATGTTCTGCATGTGTTGGTTTACGCGGCCACGGTACCGAAATAACCGCAACATCTAAGCGATTGGAAGCTGAGCTGCCACGCCATCGTCGATGTCAAATTGCACATCCAGTCGAGCACGGACCAGCAATATCCCCGCATCCATTTTCAAACGCGACGTTTTTGAAGAAGGGGCTCGGCGGTATGATTGCGGCCAGAATGGAGGAACGCGGCCTCCGACAGGCGGCAATGGAATATAATGTGTTCACGTGTTCGCCGAACTCGAGACAAAGATCTCCGCCCTGCTCTTGGACGCGAGCCAACGCGCAACTAAGTCCCAAGTTATCGTTTTCTTTTTTCTGCAATGTAGTCAGTCAGCGCGCGTGCTGTTCAAGTTTGCGTCTTTGCTGCGGATGTGCGATCGCCCATGACATATTTCCAAACACGAGCGCTCAAGGCCCATGTTGCACAGAACGTTTGAGCTACAACATGACAGCATGCACGCACCACGCGACCTTGGCAAACGCGCGAGGAGATCGTGGCGAACGCCGCCGGGGATGCCTGGAACGAGCTTTCGCAGTTACCCGTCGGCGACTTTTCTTAGGGGGCCGAGGAGACGAGGCGGCCCGCTATTCGTTGAATTGCCCAGCGTGTCTGGCAACGGGATTGCGGCCGGCAGCGCGGCCGGTGGCCGCGACGGAGCTAGGGGAAAGGCTTGGCCTGCAATCGCAGCTCCGTCGCCGCAGACCCCCGAGCAGGCGCGCTGACCTCGGCGATTTCGAAGGCTGCATTAGGCTCGCGAACAATGCGCGGACGGGCCGCCAACAAATGCGCACGGCAGGTCGACTCCAGCGCCTGCCGCGTCGCCTGGCACGCACCGGCCATCGGCTCAGCGCGGGCGCCGTCCGCGAGATGGCCCGCGCCGCGCCGCGCCGAGCCACCGCGCGGACGCCGCGTCGTCCATGACTCGTCTTGGCAGGAGCTCGCGCGGCGCGGCCTGGATGATTTCAGCGGGCCCGCAGCGATCCTCGGTCCGACGAGGCCGGCGCGGCGCGACAGCCCGAGGACGTCGCCAAGGCTGTCGGCGGACATTGGCGGCCGATCTTCCAGGGCACCGCGGTGAGCGAGGCAGACGCCGACGACTATCTCGATGGGCGCATGCCGGCGCGCGCTGCCCCTGACGCAGCGGCGCCCGCTCGCAGCGACGCGCGCCGCGCCATCGCCGCGACCGCGGGCGCGACGCCAGGCGCTGATCGCCCGACCGATTCGGCGCGGGCCGCGCGCGGCAAGGTCATGGAGCGCCTCCGCGACATGGCGATGCATGTGGCCTCGGGCATTCCTGTCCCGTTTGCGCACGTGTTTCTACCGGGCGGAACGGCCCCTGGGATCGAGTGGAAATCCCGCGACGCGCCCGCGCCCCCCAGCCCCTGCTTCTCATGGGCGACAGAGGCAAGATTTTGGCAGCAACATCAACGGGAGGAGGCGCGCGCCATCCAACGGCGCTTCATTCCGAATCGGCAGCTCATCGAACAGGTTGCCCGACTTGACCTCGGAGCGCGAACTGCCTCGAACCGAACAGTTGTTACTGGTTATTGAGGGCGCAGCGTTATTCGTCAGCTTCGACATCAAAACAGCCTTCCCGTCGTCGGCGCGGCGTTGGCCGCGGCGCGTGCCACGTCGGCCCCCCGCCCCGGTGGCTCCGCCAACGTGACCATGGCGATGTTCGAGCTGTGATCGAAAATTTGAAATTTGAATGTGCTCCAGATCCTGCAATCCGTGCCGAGGCGGCTGAGAGTCTTGCCGCTCTACGCCCGCAAACGGCCGAACAAAAACCTTTCTCGCTTCGTTGTGGCGCGCTGTCTCGCTGGAGATCCGCGGCGCCATTTCGGAATCGATTGGGCAGCTGGTGCCCGATTGGTCCACGTTTCAGGTGGGTGGGGGTTGCGCGGCATCTGGGGGTTCAGATGGGCCCCCCTGGCGCCCGCGGCGACCCGGGGCGCCCCGGCCGCCGGGGCGGGCAGCGCCTTGCGCGCCGCCGCGTGGACGCGCTCGCCCCGGTCTTCCGCGCAACCCAGCACAAGCTCCCAGGCGCCGTCCGCCGCCCCCGCGGCTGTGCGAGAACGCGCCACAAGCGTCGACCAATGGGGGGCAGCTGAGCAGGAGTGGCTAGAGCTCCCATGCATATTCCTTACTTTCGCGCCCCTGCCGACGCGTCGCTTCGGTCGCGTCCGCGCGTTGCTCTACCCGCCCCGTCCAGTCTCGCCCAGTTTTCAGGCCTCCCGACGCCGTGCTTTCTTGGGGGCGCGGATTATTTCCTCGCGTTTTCCGTCTGCCAGCGGCCCGGCCCCTCGCTCGCAAGATGAGCGGCTGCCGGGCGGGCGGCGCGCGCCTCTGTCGCCGTGGAACTTGTCCCACCTGTCGCGTGCAGCGGCGCTCGCCGTCCAGGAATGGGCCCCCCCTTAGCGGGTTTGTGGGGGAGCTCCGCATCGGCGCGGGTTATGCCTTCTCGCTTCTGCAGTCTGTCTGTCCAGGAGAATTGGTCCTGTCAGCTCCGGCAGGAGCCGCAATCGACCGCGCGGCGCTGGGCTGGGCAGCGGCGCGAGATCTCGCGCGCGCGATTCCGCGAGGCCAGCCAGGCTGCCGCCGGGGGCCGCGCCGCCGCCGCCCCCGCGCAACGGCGCCCCCGACCCGGGACCTTTACCGCCCTTCATTCGTGGCGTCCTTTCTTCGGACCTCGCCTCTAATCTCATCGGGCGTCGACGCGCGAAGTGGCTAGGTGGAGCCGCCGCCCCGCCAATCTCATCGCGGATGCTGCAGGCTTGGGTCGAGCTGGCGGCGACTTCCTCGGCCTCGCGGCAGGCGCGGGCACGGGCCCGCCTCGGGCGGAGCAGGAGGCCGGAGTTGGCGCGTCCCAGGCCATGCCTTTTCCTAAATTTGCAGTGCCGGCGTTTTCCATCGCTACTTTTCCTATTCTCGCCCCTTCGGTTCTGCGTCTTCGGCTCGATCCTTTCTCTGCGTGCGGGTTCAGGGACTTCCCGAATGTCGGGGTCAAACCTGGGCTGAATCCCAACTCGACGGTCGCGGACGGCACCCCGCTGAAGCATTGCGGCTCGAAGACGGCGACGCTTGACATCGCAGGGGGCAGGCGGGTCACCGTGGAGTTCCAGGTCGCCGATGCGAAGCGACCCATCATGAGCGCACCTTTGCAGTATAACGGAGATTGGGGTTGCGTGTTGCGACGGCAAGGGCGGCTTGCTGAAGCACGAGACGGCAGGATTGGTGAAGCTCACGAAGATCAAGAACCACTGCGCGCTGGAGTCCAGGGCCAAGGCGCACGACGACATGGAGGAGGTTCGCAGGGAGATGACGTTGTAGGCACCAGTAAGCGCGGCGGCAGCAACAGCTCGACCAGGAGAGGGAGATGTAGAAGGATACACAGTTCAACGAGCGCTAGCAGGAGGACCACGGGCGCCATCGCCAGGAGAACAGCAGGAGGTAGCATCACGGGGGGGGGCGCACGCA